TGGCAACTTTTCAGTTCATCAGTGGTGCATAAATCAGAAACACTCAGAGGACTGATGGAATTCAGCTCCTCTTGTAGAATAACCATTGTTCAGTGGTGGGAAAAGTACTAAATGTTCCTACTTAAGTAAAAGTACAGATACCACACTAAAATGTTACTCAAATAAAAGTCATCCAGTAAAATACTACTCAAGTAAAAGTGAAAAAGTATCTGGATTTAAAAGTTCATAAGTATCAAAAGTAAAAGTACTTTTCAAATCTATTGATCCTACAAAAAGCAACGTATGTTTTTAAATTACTGAAGACAGTGCCGTGTAAAAAGTTCAAGACTTAGGCCAGATAAAAAATCTTGAACTTTTACCAACATGTTTATTTTCAACAAAAATAGACAGCAGTTAGAAAAGAAAAGTTTCAGCGGAGAGGTTCAGAGATGGATGCAAAGTAGAGTCCCATTCTGTTACCAGAACAGAGACCCGAGTTGACATGAAGCCATGTAACAAGTGATTTTCACCTTGTTTTGGACCTCCTTTTATAGCTCTGTTTCTAAGCATTACATCACCTCTTGGCTCTCTTTCCTGCTGCTCCTGGATCTGTGGAAATCCCCAGATATTTGGTGTCTCTTATCATCTTCTGACCTTTCAGCATTTTGGTGGATTGTCACTTTTATTTCACTGACTGTTGCATTCTCGGCCCGGCTACGCTGCTCCCCCTCTCTGTGGCCTTGGCGTGCTTACTGCTGATCATAATATCTCAACCATAACCTGACTTTGTGGAATGTCCTGGTGAGCTGGTGTCTTTTGTGCTGTGTGCTAGAGACAGGGCGTTCTTACTGTGCACTGTCTTACTGTGCTCCCTCACTCTGCTGTGTGTCCTACCTCTGCCCAACAGCACAAATGCTTGCTTACACACACTCAGGTCCTTGTGTTGAGCCCAGGCAGTCAGATACAGAGAGGAGCACATACACACAGAGCTAGAGAGCTTTTACACTGTGGTCTGAACTTTACGTGTCTATATAGAGTATATATTTGTGGCAATGCGTCGTCATAGGAAGCCGACTGGCTGCAGGTCAAAAACAGAAGTAACAGATCACTGGCAGCTACATCTAAGATCACACACTCAGTAACAAACACACTCACCTGTTCCTCTTCGTTGTTTATGATCACCAGATCTGCTCCTTACTTTGACAGTCACTTCTGCTGTTATACCAAGTTTTCTCCTCATTGATTTAAAGTAACAGCTGAATCCAAATCTCTTCCATCCTTCAGGACACCACTTCCCTTCATGTCAAATGAGTGTTAAAAGATGGATTTCATGTCATTCATTGTTAAATTGATAAAACTTGTTGTTTGACTTTCTTCTTAAATATCTTTCTTGCCTGCCACTTGTTGTTTACTCTATAAATACACTCAGGTTTTTCTCATTTCTAACAGAAATAAACAGAGAAAACAGTTCAACAGGATAAAATAATTAAAATGAAAATCAATGGCAAAGTCAAGTTATATCAAGTGAACTGGTGTGATGCTGGTGTTCACTGTTAGTTTTTAAACTTTTCTCAACATCAAGTTTGTCCTTCAGCTGCTTTACTTCATCCTGTAACTGGCTGTGATTTTTCCTCAGTGTCTCGTAACTGCTCTGTAACTGACTGATGTTGACTGCTGTGTCATGAGAAAAAACAACAAGAGATAAAAGAGTCAGACAATTTCAAAATATTTATGCTCAATTAGCAGTGTGAAGTTAGATCCTGTGTATTTTGGTATTTGTTCTTTTTTACATTTACATTTACTCATTTGGCAGACACTTTTATCCAAAGCGACTTACATTTGAGGAACAACAAGCATCAACAGAGCATCAACTACAGATCTACAACTGACTATACATACTAGTAAGAGCAATAAATGCTAGTAAGAGCTCACAGTACATATCACATTAATGGGGTAAATATCTAGGGAAGGAAGTAAGAGTTACAAAAAGTGCAATCAATACAAGATCATTGTAGGGATAGAAGAAAAAGAGCACAGGAAGTGCATGTTAGAGATGTTACACGAGGAAGTGTTCTCGAAAGAGATGAGATTTCAAGAGCTTCTTGAAGGTTTTAAAAACCTTTCTTACCTGAAATTTGTCCCTGCAGCTCGCTGTAGTTGTTGTTCAGTTTGTCGTATCTGGTCTGCAGCTGGTCTTTTTCCAAAGTGACTGAAATATCTGGTGAGAAGCACAACAACATAAGAAACACACCAACAACCAAATCATTTGCCTCAAACTAAAGACAGAATTGCATTACTTTCTCTGCATATTTTAATGTTCTATGATAAAACACCTTTCGTGTTATCAGACCATCCAAAGCGCTTTACATGTTACATTCACACTCGTTCATCACAATGTGGTGTTCAGTATCATCCCAAAGGACACTTTGACATGCAGACTAGAGGAACCTTCCGATTAGTGGGCGACCCTCTTTACCTCCTGAGCCACAGCCGTCCCAAAAAACATCAAGTAACTATAAAGAGGTTTTTGTTTTTTTAGCTATGGGGTATATTTTGTTTTCAGAGATGTTGTCTATATGTTTTTAAACAATAAGTACAGACTCATATGCACTATGTTCATTGACATCTAATCCTCTCAGAACTGGCTCTGAAGTAATTCCCCTCCTAGCGTGACTGCAGTGTAAAAATTATGGACATGAAAACAACAGTCTTTGTTGTGTGCAAAATTTTTTTCTTAAGTTCAGCCAAAGCTAGAATGAGGCTTCATTAGTCTGAGTTAACCAGAATGAAAGTTTACTTGTTTTTGTAAAATGTTCCCACTTTGTTTCCACGGACTGTGTTTCTTTACTGAGCTGTGCGGTGGAAGGATGCTGCCGAGACACAACACTGGCAATAACCCAACCTGTTACTAGGATCAAGATACCTGTTTGATTTTTATAACTCAGACTGCTGTGATCTCATAATAACTTCAGCTGAATGTTAGAATGCATTTTTACACAGAGCTGGCAGGACAAATGATTACAGCGATAAATAAATCTTTCAGCATGCATGTGGCAGGTCAGTATTATATGAAGATGAACAAAAAATAAGAACCTATCCTTTAAAGTCTGAAGCTGGTGCTCAGACAAAACCAGACCGTCTCAACCTCCTCCAGCTTGATTCATTAGATCTGGTTGTGGAGAACTGGAAAGTACATTTTAGTGTAACTGAGCAAACTTTGGTGGAAAACATTAATAAATGTGCTTCATAGACCAGTTGCAGCAGTTTTTCTGCATTGTGAACAGGTTCAGTATTTGGTTGTCAGTAGTTGTGGGGTGTATTTTATCTTACAACGTATGTATAGGAGGATGATTCCAGTTATGGTCAGAAAGCACAGCACTCCAAGACAAAATGCAGCAGCTCTGAAAGGCCTGCTTTGGACGGCTGGAGGATGATTCTCAGTGTGCGGTCCTAAAGTGGCAAAGCACACAGAGAGCGGGTTCATTAAAGGAAAACAACATGCGTCATGTTATCATTCCCCACACATAACATTTTAGTCAACAGCTTCACTGCCTTCATCTGTGGTTGTTCAACATCTGTATACAACTGTGAAATGTAGTATTAACATTTTAACAAATCATATAAAGACTGTTGTGTTGACCAATTATTATTGTGATGTAAACAATATGAACCGATCTGAGATGTAGAGTTTTAAAGGACAATTAAAATGCACAACTGACTCATAACTAAAAGCTGTTAAACTGACTTTACATCGTCTCCTCTTGAGTCTCTCTCGGCTCTGTATTAATAACTTCTTCCTGTTATTAATACAGAGCTGAGAGACGTACATAAATAGAAACAAACATAGACGCTAATGGGCTGCAGTTCAACAGCATTAGTCCAACATGATTCAAACAGATGATCACACAAACAAGATAAACATTATTTTTTTACATCATAGATTTGTCATAATTTCTCACTTGCCTCCGTCGTGTGACTGAAGATCAGTGTGATCATCTTTGATATCGTCTGTACTCTCGTAGATAGCCACCGTTCTTTCTTCCCACTCTACGTTGTCCTCCTGCACCTTTCTGTTGTATCTCACCTTCTTTGAGAAATCTGGTTTGGCATAAATATCTGAGGACATCTTGAGAGGACTGAGACAGTTGAACAGTAGCTGCACTTCACTTCCTGTAACTGTTCTGTGTGGATTGGTTACTATGCTGCTGTAAACCTTCAATGTGTACAAGTATACTCTGCAGTACTAACTGTAGTAGATATACTACTGTACCGGTGCTGCTGTCAGTCTTGCATGACGGCTTCTGTCTGGTTTCAGTAGAGAACAATGAGGAAGTAGCAGCAATGAAACACACACTCACTTTTATTCATTTGACTCTTTTAGATCCAGTTTTTTTTGTATCTTCAGTTAGATGACTGTGTTGTATTATATTAATACATGGGTAAAAATGAAAATTATAAAGGATAGAATTTGGAGATGCAAGGTTTTCATTCAGCAACAACAATATGTATGTATTAATAGACCTAACCACATTTTTTCACACCTGTCCCACCTTGTTTACCCCACCCACACACACACACACACACACACACACACACACACACACACACACACACACACACACACACACACACACACACACACCACACACACACATACATACATACATACATACATACATACATACAGAGCAGATTAACAGTTTGGCCAAAACAGGAAATGTCAGTCATTTTCTACAGAAAAACTGAAATCATTTCCCAACCAAGTTGTAATGTTTAACAAAGTTACAGTGACAATCATAACCCTATGACGATTGATTAGAATACATATCCTGCTTTGGAACAAGGTCTTAGAGCTTCTGACTGTCAATACATGATTTAACAACATACTTTTACTACTGTGGGGCAGATTGAAACTGAAAATGACTTTGACGCCCTCACATTTCTATTACTGCCACCATCTGGCCAGTTCTTCCAATGGTACAAAGGAAACCCTAAAATATAAAATCAACTTTATGCACCACACTAAATGAACTTGATTATGACCTTTCTGTAAGTACCCTCAGGACAAACTCATTACTCTGAGAATAGCATGAAAGTTAGTATGAGTTTAACATGATAATGTAACATGATGGTATTTAGTAATGTCATGAACATTTGGGCCTTATTGTATGTTTACATTTTGCACTTCTAAGTAATGTTAAAGCACCTTCATTCACCACAGTGGATGCATCTTTTTCTAGCATTACCCTCAGGACAAACTGGACGTGTTTAACTTGACTACTGTGAGAATAGCATGAAAGTCAGTATGAGACTTCTAACATGGTGTTAATAAGTCATGAACATTTTGTGATTGCCTTTATTATGTAGTTTTTAAGGGAGGACAGCAGGAACTATGGATAAAGAGAGGGAGAAATGCTGTGCATTAAAGGTCCTTTCAAATCCATTACATCACAGTTACATGGCACACATGTTGGCCTCCATGATCTCCAGGAAACTCTCAATAGATCTGTTTCTCAGAGAGCCATTGATTGGATCCCGTCATGTTGTTTGTTCCTCGCAGATTATGCTGTGGACCCGCGTCCGACCTCAGGCTTTACATTCACTTGTACCTGCCAGAACCAACAGAAGAAGCACTATATTGGTATAGGGAGAAGCCACAAAGCACATGGAATTATTGATGTATGCAGTTCTTGTGCTCATAATAAGGTGATATGGACTAAAACACCTCTTCATATTTAGTTTCTTTATGTCTTCGTATGTACTCTACAGAAGACAGAAGAGTTTTAAAACATGAAAAAAGATTCTTTTATAATTACAAATTAAAAACAATATTTCAGCATGTTCAGCTTCCAGTGAAGAGGGCAGCACAGAGGAGGATTAATATGAACATGTTGGTGCACTCGTGTGGTGGAGCAGTAGATTACAAGTTCATAATACTGAGCTTTAAAGAGCCAAGATCAGCAGCTTGAACCTCTGTGGCTTTTCACTTCTTAAATATGAACCAAAATTCAAGTTCAGAATGTGGTGGAACAAATCATTTCAAATTCAGATCTTTTTATTTGATTATGTACTGGGATTCAGAAAAAATGTTACAAATTTAAAACAAAAATACTACACACAGCTACACACCACGCACAACATGTTGCATTGATGTCAAATTAAAACTATGGGTTGAATTGTTTAGTGATAATTATTGTATGAACACTGTAGGCCTCACCCAGGGCTAATTTACAATAAAATATTTAACATTACCTGGAAACACAATTGAGATGGAGTGGTGTATAAAGACCTTACATAATGAACTGTTTTTATTGCATTGCCTCCCGCAAAACTGAACATTATTACTTGAGCTGAGAGCAAACTAACTTTACATGCTAACAGTACACTATTTTGGCAGTTATTCATCATTTAGTAATACTGTTACACCAATGAAAGATGCTAAAAGGTCTACATTAATACATATAAGTCAACTGTAAAACACTGTTAGATTAGACATCATCACAAGCAGGAAATATGTTTTCCTAAAAACATACTAGCTGTTTGTGACCTTCTTGCCACAGCTCGCATTGATGTGCCATCCTGGATGAGCTGCACCACCTGAGCCACTTGTGTGGGTTGTAGACTCCGTCTCATGCTACCACTAGAGTGAAAGCACCGCCAGCATTCAAAAGTGACCAAAACATCAGCCAGGAAGCATAGGAACTGAGAAGTGGTCTGTGGTCACCACCTGCAGAACCACTCCTTTATTGGGGGTGTCTTGCTAATTGCCTATAATTTCCACCTGTTGTCTTTTCCATTTGCACAACAGCATGTGAAATTGATTGTCAATCAGTGTTGCTTCCTAAGTGGACAGTTTGATTTCACAGGAGTGTGACTGACTTGGAGTTACATTGTGTTGTTTAAGTGTTCCCTTTATTTTTTTGAGCAGTGTATACTGTCCTCTTCCTGTTGCAGCTGGTTGTTTTGTTTAGTTTAGCGTCCGCTGGAACTAAACAACGTGAGCTACACTGCAAGCAATGATGATAGTCCAGAGAGAGTGACACTACATGTGACTGTTATTAAGATTAAACATATTTGGGACTTTGTATGGATTGTGCAGAATTATCCTTCCTCTTCTACACAGAGCGACAGGAGCATGAACCTGTGTTGACTAGCTTTATTGTGCTTCCCAAAAAGTCTCTCGGACAAAATAAATGAAAGTCAAGTTTTTATAAAATACATGGACATACACCTGTTGTGTTATCAAACTGAAATTATTTTAATTTGAATTAAAAACTAAATTCCTTACATCGTATGAAGACTCCAGCCAAAATCAGAAGATACATCACTCCTAGAGTTGCAGCAGTAAAACAACTTATTTTGACACAATTCTTTGGAGTCTGTGATCCTACAGAGACAAAATGCAAAGATAGTATTTTCATTATGTTTGAAGTTTGAAGTGGCCACTATGAACTGTGTAGTTTTAGTTATTGTCATTTTCTCAGTAAGGAAAATTACTCTTGTGGCACCAGATTTCATCACCAACACACCTGATAATGACCCATAGTGAATAGTGACTGATTGATGAACTCAATATCTAATCTTTATATAGCTACACAAAAATGCACATTAACTTTTTAATTTCAGACTTACTTGCTTTTTGTGACCCAGGATCAGCGTGATGCTCTTCAGCCTCTGAGATCTCCACCTCATTCTCCTTTCTTGCTCCTCTGTTCTCATGAACTCTTCTTGAATATCTCACATTCAAGCTTGAATCCGGTACAGCAAGAATACTTGCAGACATTTTGAAATATTTTAAACTTTACTAAACCGTTTCACTGTCTGCTTGTTTCTCTTTGAGGTGGGTGGACTTCACCACAGGAAGTGACAGCAGGACAAACCACTAACACAGAAGCACACCAAAACATATTTGTTACTGTTAATTGACGAACCCCACTAGACTTAAACCTGACTTAAATTTAGGCATAAACTATCTAGAAGTATATTTGAAGCTGAAAAAGAAAGGGTTTATTTTTTCTCAGTAACATTGAGGAAATGCAAGGTTTTCATTCAACAGCAGTATGTGGTCTAATCACACATTCGTGCATAGCTGCATTCATGGTTTCACATACCATTTACCCACACATGCCTCTCTGACACAGGAAATGTCATGTTTTGACCGGAAAAATGTTTTTTTTCTGTCTGGTAGACAAAGTTTTGGTTTAAGTTTTAATGGTTCTATGATGACATTAAACTTAAGATGCTAAGCATCAGCAATTGTGGTGTTGTATTTTTTAAAGCTGTAAACATGTAAACAGGAAAGTCCCACACAACACTATTCCAGCCACGAGTTAGGTAACATTAAATGACTTGATTATGGACAGCTTACTTTCTAGTTCACCAAGACATGCTGTTGTTGTTATGTTAGCTATAGTATATTATAGCTCTTAGCTGTATAGAGTTGTGAGTATCACTGTCTGTAGCTGGGGCGCTGGCTCTAGGACAATCTCGTCCTCTCTGCATGTTAGCTTCACAGCAACCGTAGCAACAGTTTGCTAAACCACAATTTAGCTATCTTTGTGTAGTAACAACATACACAGGGAACAGCAGCAGCTTCAAGAATTCTCAACCATAATATGTCATTTTAAAGTTTAGCTAGGTTTAGAGGAAGGACAGTGTTAAATATGTACATTATGGGACTCCTCACAAGTATTTGAAAACAGGCTGTTGTAATATCCCTCTCTGCAGAGAGGGTAAGTGCACATGTAGTCGTGTGGATGACTTCCAACCAGACTGTTCACTGTGTAGGGCAGAGGAACAATATCTATGTAATCCAGGTTGTTCAGGATGCAACACAGAATTAAAGCTGCAAGCAGCGTTGGGCGGGCCCTCGCACTTGTAGCGCGTCCGCGCGTGAACCGGCCGAGTTGCATATTCTGGAGCTCAGCCGGTGCGGCTGTGAATTTGTTACGCGGTTCCGACGACGCATGAAGGTGCTATATGTCACTTCCTGTGTCCCCTATGTGGAGCTACATAGCACTTGCCGCTATGAATATAAATCGGTATTGGCGTGTAGATGTCTGCGGGGTGGGAGAGTTATCAAGCACGTAAAGTTTGTGTATTGTACACTGAACAATAATGTACCCAAACAATAAAATAAATTCCTTTTATATTTCCCTGCCTTGTTGTTTATGTGTACATACAGAGGAAGAATGTGAGAACAGCACACATTTCATCGTTACTGTGTTTCTGCTCCAGCCTGCCTAAAAGAAAAGCGTTTTTGGGATTAAATGGACTTTTTTAGCTGCTGCAGTGCAGGATGAACTCAGAATAGACCCATTTCTCACCTTATTATTCTAAACCATGCAACGAAGAAGAAGAAATGCATAATAAATACTGTACAGCATGTAGTCTAATGGACATGACTTGTGTTATAGCTGACTTGGGCAGTGAAATGTTTAATTTTTTTAATTCATGTGGTCATAGTTGTCCACAACTCAAATCAGAATATAAGAAGAAATGTTTTATACCACCTCAAGAAGGCTTCCTATCAGAAAGGTAGGAAGGTATTTCAAATGTACAACTGCAGTACTTAAATCTAAGTAAAGTAATTTCCCTGACATTACTGTGTTACGCATGTAACAGGTTTTATACTTCCTGTGAGTATAATCCAATCAATCTTATTTTCATACTGTATATCCGTTGTGTAATTTGATAAATTGTGTTGTATGTGGTGCTCGCATCGGGTACTACTGAGACTTCATTGCCCTCTTCAGAGAAGACTCTGACTGCAACATGCGTCTTTGTAAAGAGAGAAACAGACAGAAAAAGTCTCTAACTCTGCTTGTCAGCTCGCTCTGCTCCGTTAAAACTGAATTTACCATACAGAATTGAATACGAGTGCACTCCAGATTTAGCTGCAGCCAGCTGACCGTGTGCTTCTCCCTATACCGCAGTTCTGTGTCCATGCATGCAGCAAACTGAAAGCACTGTCTGTCGGAGCGTCTACGTGAAAAGAGAAGGAAGACATTGCTGGTAGTATTGTCTTCAGAGTTGTTAAACACCTCAGCGCACTGAAGGAAGCCATCTGACTGTGTGAGGGGCAAGATCGTTGATGTCTGCAGGCAGAGTAGGAGCTCTCCTGTCTGACTGGTCCACCAATAGCAGAGAAGATGACCCCTTGAGACACAGCCCCTCCTCATTTGCATAATGAGGCAGAAATGCATACAAAAATTTATAAAAGACAGGCAGAAATAAATACCATGGGTGAAAATAAATAAGGTAAATAAATACAAAGGAAGAATAAAACAGACAAAAATATTAAAACACACACATAAATAAATACATTAAAAAAATTAGTAATAAATAAAGTTGAATAAACAAATAAGGTAATTATAACAAAGGTGAATAAGTAAAGGCACTAATTAAAATATAAACATTTATGTCTCCTTGTATAATTTAATTACTACCTACATTTATTTATTTACTTTATTTTTTTGCGTATTTAATTGGATGCTTATTTATTTATTTAGCATTTATTTATTTCTGTATTTATTTCTGGCTGTGTCAGGATCGGTCCTCCATAACGGGGTGGGAGAGTTATCAAGCACGTAAAGTTTGGTTAAGATGTGAGCATGTACACTGAAGTTACAACAACTTCCTGTGTCATGGCGAAGACTTGATCTCTGACGCCACGCCACGGACACACCCATTGACGAAAACTCGCAAATAGCACAACTTTTCATCTTCAATGCCTTTAGAAGGCACAGCACAAATTTGAAGTCGGTCGGACTAAATCCCTAGGAGAGTTCGTTAAAGTACGAAGTGTGTAAATCATCCAAAAATGGCCGTAAAATTCAAAATGGCCGACTTCCTGTTGACTTTAGGCTATGGATTCTTGAGGCTTTTTGTGCGTCTTGATATGATACATGTCCCCAGAAAATTTCGTGCATGTAGGTTGAACGTGAACGAGGGGCTAATTTTTTCCAATTTTCTAGGTGGCGCTAGCGAGTCATTTTGCGACGCCCATGTGTGAAACTTGTAGAATACGAAATTTTTCACCGGTTCTGACATGTTTGCAAATTTTGGTGAGTTTTCGAGAATGTTTAGGCCATGTCAGTTGAGCCTACTTTGCAGAAAAAAGAAAAAAAATATAATCCGAGCAAATTCAATAGGGACCTCACACAGTCGTGCTCGGGCCCTAAATATAATCCGAGCAAATTCAATAGGGACCTCGCACGGTCGTGCTCGGGCCCTAATGAACAACTGAAGAAATGTAAAGTGTGAGTTGGTCTGATTTGACAAAGTTGATCCCAACACTACACACCCCTCTGTCCTCAAGATAAACAGGAAAGCTCTTTCTCACAGATCCAGTTCTTCTTATTATATCCGCTCGTCCATTTTCCTTGTTTATCGCAGCATGCTGCAGCGTAATAATTGCTGTACGGGTGTCCTGTTGCCCAGAACCTGTAGGAGAAATAAAATGTTGTCACTCTTTATTTTAGATTATTTTCAATTTGAAGTAATCTGTTGGATTTCACTTATATGTTTTTTTTATTATTACCATAAATGACAATTACAATTTTAATAACATGTTTAACACATAATTCAGCTTTGTAAATTAATATAATGTGAATTAACATTTTTTTCATTTATTTTCATCTAATTAAAAAAACAAACTTCTTTTAGTAACAAAATGAATTGTGATGGAAACTTTAACTTTAAAAGCGTCTCACTCTAGTGTCAGCGGTGAGTCGTCCACCCATTTCCATTTCCATCCTGTTTGTGTCCGTTCTGTGGCCTGTAGACCAATCCAGGAGTCTCCATCCTTGTTCAGCTCAGTGACACATTTCTAGTAGTTGACAAGAGACAATAATCATTTCTCTGTTCATAATTCAGTAATTCTATTGTGGTACATGTGTGATGTCTGAAAAGTCTGAAGGAAAATGAAAATCTGTGGCAACTTTTCAGTTCATCAGTGGTGCATAAATCAGAAACACTCAGAGGACTGATGGAATTCAGCTCCTCTTGTAGAATAACCATTGTTCAGTGGTGGGAAAAAGTACTAAATGTTCCTACTTAAGTAAAAGTACAGATACCACACTAAAATGTTACTCAAATAAAAGTCATCCAGTAAAATACTACTCAAGTAAAAGTGAAAAAGGACCTGGGTTTAAAAGTTCATGAGTATCAAAAGTAAAAAGTACTTTTCAAAATTGTTGATCCTACAAAAAGCAACGTATCTTTTTAAATTTACTGAAGACAGTGCTGTGTAAAAAAATTCAAGACTTAGGCCAAATAAAAAAGCTTGAACTTTTACCAACATCTTTATTTTCAACAAAAATAGACAGCAGTTAGAAAAGAAAAGTTTCAGCGGAGAGGTTCAGAGATGGATGCAAAGTAGAGTCCCATTCTGTTACCAGAACAGAGACCCGAGTTGACATGAAGCCATGTAACAAGTGATTTTCACCTTGTTTTGGACCTCCTTTTATAGCTCTGTTTCTAAGCATTACATCACCTCTTGGCTCTCTTTCCTGCTGCTCCTGGATCTGTGGAAATCCCCAGATATTTGGTGTCTCTTATCATCTTCTGACCTTTCAGCATTTTGGTGGATTGTCACTTTTATTTAACCTAACTTTAGGTGTCTATATAGAATATATTGGTGGATGTTTTGTAACACAGTTTTCACACAGATCTGCTTCTACATTCCTTCTACAACATGTTTACAGTGAATCACAACGAGGAAAACTGAGTGGCAAGATGACAGGTGGATGTTTCCTTTTCTGTGTGGGGGATTAGCCTGCGTTATTGCTCTGCTGCTGTGGTAGTTTCCCCTTCAGACCGTCTGACAGACACAGAAGCACGTTTGGGACTGTATGTTAGGATGAGACAAGGAGGTGGAAACTAAAACTACCTGAAAACACTTTCAGGCAGAAATCTCACCACAAATGTGAACTTCAGCACCTCCGATAAAGCTCACAGACCCAAACAGAGCCAGTTTGCTCCTCAGTTTTTAGATGCTTATAATGCAAAACTCTGCTGAAACATTGTTTTTGAAGTTTTCTCTTTCAAATTTATAACCTTAGTCTCAGAGAATATTCAAGTGTTTTTTTGTCTTCGCTCCGTAATGTTTTTTATTTCCACCTACAATGGCCCTAATGCATCGTCATAGGAAGCCGACTGGCTGCAGGTCAGAAACAGAAGTAACAGATCACTGGCAGCTACATCTAAGATCACACACTCAGTAACAAACACACTCACCTGTTCCTCTTCGTTGTTTATGATCACCAGATGTGCTCCTTTCCTTTGACAGTCACTTCTGCTGTTATACCAAGTTTT